CTGGGAGCCTCTGAGGGAACCTGGGAGCTGAGCTGGGATCACTACCGTAGGATCAGATCTCTGAAATTCCTGGATGCCAGAAGTATATTGCTACTTTATTTCCTTATTTTCACTGTCTTTGCACGGTGCCAAAGTCCCCTTCTGCTAATAGCTCTGGGGTGCTATGTGCCTTCATCTTAAAAAATGTTTTCACAGCTTCTGTGCCTGGCAATTCTTGTTTCCCAGCCTTCTGCTTCACTATCCACCCATGGAGCCGGTGACAGTCCCCCAGCCTCTATCCAGTGCCCACTGAATCACACTGACATTAGTGTCCAATTGATTTCCTTTCCTCTGCCTTACATACATGGATGAAAAGAAACACCATTTTCATCTAGCCTGGAGGGAAGGCAGGTACTGATGGGGAGATGCAGAGGAATTTTCTGGAAGAGGATGCAGTGGTCTTGCACATCAATAAAATCCAAATAACAGAGTGAGTCCAGCTCATATGTCCTAAGTATAGATCTAAAAAATACAAAATTCCTAAACAGACCTAGGGCTAAAATGAGAAGCCAGTCAGTGATAGCACAATTCACTTTCAACTCCTAATTTGGGAAGTAATGAGTTGTCCTCTATCATCAAGCTGCATTAGGCATCTATTAGACTATGAAGCGGAATAAGTGGCTCCATCGGAAATGGCTTCTTCCCTTAGCTCTCACGCCACACACATGGAGCATATTTAGTAGAGCCTTAGGGATTGTCCTGGGATGGAGACAAGGGGCAGATTTGGCCACAGGTTTTCTGGATGACAGGAGAAAATGTTCTATAGAGACACACAGTGAAACAAGTTTCTTTAACCATTTTCTGTTTGGGGGAGAAGGTGCTTGTCTCACTGTCAGAGATGCTCTTGACCTCTTCAGTTCCTTCCTTCCTTTCTTCACTCACTCACTACATGTTTACTGCTAAGTCATGTGCTAAGCATCAGGGCTTGGCAACTCCCTGTTCTCAGGACGTTCACAGTTTCACATAGAGAAAGACAAGTCAACAGTCCATTTCAGGACAATGTGATAGGCACTGGGCTGGAGGAAACAAGGGACTCCTACGGAGGTCCTATGATAAAGGGAGAGAAAGGAGTGTTTGAGAGGGTTTTGCTCAGGGGATCTATTCAACCAGGACTTAAAAGAAGAGCAAATGTTTGTCAAGAGGACAGAAATAACCCTCATCACCCCTGAGACAGAGCATTCTCATGTTCAAGGCCAGCTGGGCAGACAAGATGCAAATCTGGTCCAGCTTAAAGTTGTCAGTGGCTCTCCTTTGCTCCTCATCTTAAGAATATCCAGCTCCTTAACATGGCAGGTCAGGCCCTGCATGATCTGGTCCCTGTTAGGGGAACCACAATGTACACCACATTCCGCCTGCCCTTCCCTGAGGCTCGGATCACACTTGCTATCCTCTCCCGCACTCCTTCCAACTCACACTCTTTCTCTCTCTCTGGATCACTCTCTTCCCCAAATTCCTCTGCCTGATGTGCCCTTTTCATTTTTCAGCTCTTAGCTCAGCAAAGGTTTCTGTAGTGGGTTGAACAGAATCCCCCAAAAAACTCACATCCATCCAGGACCTTAGAAAGTGACCTTATTTGAAAATAGCCTTTGCAAATGTAATCAATTAAATTAAGATGAGATCATATTGAAATTGGGTGGGGCCTCAATTCAATGACTGGCATCCTTATGAAAAGAGGAGAGACATACAGAAATATACAAAGGGACAAAGGCTATGTGACAACAGAGGCAGAGATTGGAGTGATGCAGCTATAAGGCGAGGAACAGCAAAGATTGCTGGCAAGTACCAGAAGCCAGGAGGAGGCATCTTCCTAGAGCCTTCAGAGGGAGCAAGGCCCTGCCCACATCTTGATTTTGGACTTCTAGCCTCCAGAACTGTGAGAGAATAAATTTCTGTTGTTTTAAGGCATCTAGTTTGTGATAACTTGTTACAGCAGCCCTGGAAAATGAATACACCTTCCCTAACCCACGTCCCCCCACCCCAACTTGTTCAAAAACACTTCATCCCTCCATCACACACACCCACTTATGTACTGACATGGCAATCTGAGCTTCTCTTTGATATAGCTTGTCACAGTTCGTAATTCCATATTTATTCAGGTGATATTTTATTGACGGTTGTCTCTCCCACTAGACTATAAACCCTATTATGTTGGGGAGTCCTATTTGTTGACATCACCTTTAAATCATCAGTGTTTAGCATGATGTGGGGGCCTCAATAAACGTTATTATATTAATCAAACAATTATCAACCTATCCCACATGATGGTAAATAACTATAAGTCCCCAAAGAATGGAAGAGAGAAGAGGTACCAGGAGCAGGAAAGAGAGAGAGAACCTGGTGGTGTGGAGTCAACAGAGGAGCCTCGGGGATGGGGAAACTTGAGTTGTATCTGGAATGGATTTCAACAGAGGAAGCCCTCAGTGATGTCTGAAAGCAGTAGCTTTTCAAACTCTTTGGACTGTGACCCACAGTGAGACATGCATCTTACATCATGACCCAGCAGCTATTGGAGGAATAGTTTAATGTAGCCTTCTTACTCCCACTATGTGGATGTACCCTAATGTTTTCTGTTCTACTCAGTTCTATGCCGTGTTATTTATTTCTCCCCTTCTTCCTCCTCTTCTGCTGCTGCTGGACAGAACCCATTAAATTCATTTCACAGCCAACTAATGGGCTATGATTGTTCATTCTAGACTGCAAGCCCCACAGGGCAGGGATCAGAGCTGTTTGGGTCACAGCTCTATCCCCAGAACCAGGTACAATTCCTGACACTTATTTGTTGCTTAGTAAAGCTTTGTTGAATAAATCAGTGTATCAAGAGTTTCATTTTGTGGCATCTCCTAATAAGTTCGCTCTTTTTACATACGAAAATCTAACATCTCTATCTTTTTTCTGACCCTTTCGCAGTCCACTGCCTTCAAAGCTGAGTAAGGTAGAGTGTATTTTACTATTTATGCTCAGTGTTCTCTTCCATGACATTAACTACACAGTCACTTCTCTGAGCTAAAATGTAAATTTAATCATTTAACTTCTCCACTTAAAATTCTTCTATTTATTTGCATGGATAACTCACGATTATCTAATACATACAACATGTATGAAGACAGACATCGTTTACAGGTTCACATTTCCCGCCTTACCTTGGGGATCGTCCTTTACTCCTCTTAATTCAACAGCACCATGTAGCTCGTAATTCCCCTAAATACACCATGACACCCTTTCATGCCCATGCCTCTCCCAAGCTTCCCCCTCCATTTGGAATTCTTGAGAAATTCTTTCCATATCTCACTCGATCAAAGTGGAAACTCCTATACATTTTAACAGGGCAATTTCAAAGTGGAGTCGTCCCCCTACCCAATGCCACCACGCGCACATAACCCTTTGTATATAGTTTCACAATTTGAACCCAAATATATCATTTCTTACATTATTTTTTAGTTATGTTTTGCTAGCTATTTTTTCCCTAGCCTGTGAGTGCCTTGAGGACAGAAATGAATGGAATGTTATTAATCTTCATTTTGTTTCTCTGGTACTGAGCACACAGTAAGCGTTGAAGGAAGATAGGAGAATGGAGGAAGGAAGAGAGGAGAGGACTCACATAAAGGCCCTCCACTTCCTTATCACTACCCTGTTCTGTGTCCATCTCCTTTGTTGCTTATTCCAGCTTCTGATTATTAGGCTTTTACAACAATTTATCAGTTGACGTGTTTCACCGAGTTAGATCTCAGCAGATGTCTGCCTCATTGAAATTCCCACTGGTACAAGATCTTAATTCTTTGCAGATTTTGAAATCTATATAGAAAAAGCATCATCTGTTATTTTGAGTCTGAAAATATCTAACCCCCTAACCTTCTTTTCCCATTGAAATGATAGTTTAATAATTTGAATTTTTGTCATATGAAGTTTTTCCAGAACATTACGTTCTTGTTCCAGCAGAACAGAGTGCACTGTGTCTTTGCTTTCCTTGGGACCCAAATGCTGTTCCCGCCGTGTGGAATTCTTCTTGATGTCCCCTTTTCCTCCTCCTCACCCCTGCACCTCTTCAACTCACTTGCTCCTATTTATTCCTCCTGTCTTGGTTTGGCCAAACAAGCTGTTCTAGACTCCCGCAAGACCTCATCTGTTCCTTCTCCCTTTTAACCTCTCCAAAAATCTATCTTTTGTCGACTCACTTATTCAATCAATATTTATTGAAGGTCTGTATTGTACTTGGTGTAATATACACAGTAAACCAGACACAGCCCTGGCCCTTTAGGAAGGTGAAATCTACTTTTGGTGGTGGTGGGGAGTGGGTAGGCACCACGTAAATATACAACAACCCACTGTGAGAAGATCCAACCTTGGAAGGGAGATGGGGAGGATTTCTCAGAAAAGTGTCATCCCAGGTAAGATGTTAAATAGAAAAGAAGAAGCAGCCTGTCACATCACAGGTCTTCTGAGCACTCTTTGTTCTCCTACAAAACATAAAAGCTGTGTTCTTGAGAAAACCCTACTTTTGTCATGAAATTGTGTTACAATAACAGTTGTTTCTTTAGGAAAGGAAGAATTTGATGTAGAGAATTTCAGGCTCAAAACAACAAAGCTGATTTCCTTCCAAAAATTTCAGAACTAAAGGTGTTTTTGATAGCTCAACATTGACCTGTTATTGCAAGCAAAAAATAATAAGTTGGTTAAAAAATGTTTCAAAACCAAAGCTCAATGCAGCTTTGTTTACCCTTCGATTCACAGGTAGTATCTCGTATCACCCTTGACCATGATCTTGCGGTTTTGCATGTAGCATATACCCAAGAAAACTAAATGACCAAAGATCACAAGAGTTTAAAAAAAACCAAACCCAACAACAAGGGAACATCAGCAACTACTATTTTTCATTATGAATCCCCAGTTCTCAATTGTTATAACCAATAGGGGTCTATGTAATACAAATTGTGTATCTAATTAATTTATTTATGGTTTTGTAGCCAATGTGCACCTTGAAGATGCCTGTTGTATGAGAAGACCTGGAGTTCAGTATGATTGAACCTCTGCTTCAACCTGCAGGTTTGAATTTCTCCACCCCAGGGTTCATTATCTGGATGGAACTGCTATTTCACAAGCCCACGTTTTTAGATTTATTTTACTTAAACAAGTTTCATCCTTATATTTAGGCAAAAGTAAGTCCTACCTTTGTGAAACCCCAAAGTCCTGTGGCTGCTGAAGGCCAGGCCCCTTCTCTGGCCCAGACCAGCTCTGGAACCCCACTCTGCCTTGCCACTCATCCCACAGCTCGCTCTCTCCCTGGGCAGCCTTCTTCCCAAACCTGGTTGAATCTCTCCCATTCCTCTCCTCTTGGATGCTCCCAAAGATAAACTCACAGGACTTTGCCTTTTATGAATTTGACTAGTAATCATCATGGAAACAAATGGAGGGAGAAGTTTGAGGAAGAATACAGTATACAAGAATATTACAAAGGTCCTAGAATTTCTCAGGTCTCAGAGCCACAGCCCCCAGTTCCCAACCTCTTTGCCAAGAATCCTTAGAATCCACACTAAACTTCTGGTCTCCTCTTTAGCTCCTAAGAACAGACTTAGCTCACTGAGTCTTTTCTCTTCTCTGCAATGCAGACCCGGATATGCAGTCGAGGTAGGTCCATAGGTATGAACTAGCATACATCGAAGTGTTTACTAGTCTTAACGAGCTCATTGGAATTTCTGTGAGCAGGGAGGGAGGCACAGATGCATCTCACACGTTTACCCATTTGGCAAATACTCACTGAGTACGCACAATGCACTAGGCACCATGTCGAGCTTTACAAACCCATGAGATCACTTTTGTTTCGCTTTGTTTGATTTCATTCCATGGTCAGAAAGGACATAAATATCGTTCCAAATTCTTCCTCACTAGTTTCACTTCTCCTTTGGTGAATGGGAAACTTGTGCAGGAAGAACACATTTCATCCATTCCTAATGCTTCCTTCTACCTCTACCCTCTCTCCCTAAGTCGAAGGTATGACATCTCTAATTGCTGAGTTTGGGGGAACACACTGGCTTGCATGGAAGATCTGCTCACCTGCATGGATTCTGGTCAGTTCTTAGCCAAGCAGTAAACTTCCCCATTGCCGAGGGCTGCATTTTTCCAGAGTTCCTTATGACTGAGCAGGTTGAGTTCACTTTTGGAAGCCCATATGTCTTAGCTCAGACTGCCATAGCAAGATACCATAGACTGGATGGCTTAGACAACATCACAGCTGTTGGAGGCTGGATGTCCAAGATCAGGATACCAGCATGGTCAGGTTCTGGCGAGAGCCATCTTCCTGACTTGCAGATGACTGCCTTCTCTCTGTGTCCTCACATGGCAGAGAGGGAGAGAAAGAGAGAGAGAGAGAACTCTCTGGTATTTCTTCTTATAAGAGCATTAATCCCTTCTTATAAGGCCCCCACCCTCATGATCACCGAAAGTTCCCAATCATCAGGTAAAGTCTTCCACATACAAATTTTGGAGGGACACAGTTCAGTCCATGTCACCACATGACTGAAAGGCCTTAAGCCTCATTCCCTATCAGCTTTGATTAGTAATAAAGGTACTCCTAGATGTCCTTCTTTCTGACTTAGCTGCTCATCTCTAAATCAGATTCTAACTCCGGCAAGGACAAGACTGTATTTTTTTTAGCTCTCTCACATACCAACCAATCGACTCAGAGATTTGTAGAATTGTGGAAAGAGGTGGAAAGGATTCTGTAAAACTGCTGCATTCTTCTAGATTGATGTTTCTCAAACGAGGTGCCATGGATCACTAGCTTTTTTAATGATACATTGAGAAATATCAGTGGGAAAACAAGATTCTATATTCGAAGAAGTTACGGAACACTTTTTGTTCCCCAGCCCTCTCTGAAAGTCACCATGCATGTTGGTGTGAGAGGTCTTCTCTAAAGAAACCTGATTAGGTTTGTGGAACCTGGGGTTTCCCACTCTTCCTTCTTCACAGACCCTTTTTAGCTGAACAGCAATGAACCTCGTGGAGAACTGATGCTCCTACACTTGCGAATAGCTTTTCCAGATCATGTCCTGTATCCTCCATAGTCTCCTGAGGTACTGTTTTATCCGAGTCCTTCTTACATCTCTCTAAAATTTCAGTTTAAAGCCCTTTTGATTAGGGGAGCAAATTTGCTTTTAACAAAACCCTTTCTTTCCAGTAGCCTCTAGCAGTTGCAAGCTCATTATTGTAGTATCTCAAAACACAGTCCAGAAGGCCATGACCCATTTCTTTGAAATTTTCTACAGGGTTCACTCCACACATCTTCCTTTCTCCTCTAAATTATCACCCTTTAGTGGGGGGGAAAATGTCAATATCTTGTGTCTGAAGAGCCTTCAGTCTTTTTCTCAGACATCAAACTATTAATACCAGAGACAAGTTTCAAGCTGCGAAAGGCTGGATCAATTTTACCCACACATGCTGGAAGAAGTGGGTAGCGATTGCTAGATCTGATACATCTTGGCAGACACTCAGTCACTGCAGGAAGTCAGCTCCCCACCAGATTAGGCACATCAGATCTGTGTGCAGACACCCCCATCCAGCTCAGCAGATTCCCAGACCACTGCTGGAGTCTTTTTCTCCCAGACCAGTAGTCACAAGACTCCTTGAACCTGCTCCGTTACTGCTCTCCGACCACGAGCTGCAGCAGCTCTCTCAGAAGGCACAGTCTTACCTTCTTCAGGAAGAGCCCCAGACCTGCCAGCACTCCAGCTTCAAAGCCTTTCCCTTCTCTAGCTTTTCTACACTGACTTCTTCCTGTGGCCAGCCTCACGACACTGGTTTTAATTTCTCCTCTGCCTCCCTTGAATCTTTTTTTTTTAACCACTCTATTGGATTGTGTTTCCCACTCAGACAGGACTGCTTCATCCTCACTAATAAGGAGGAATACAGAGAGAAATCCCCAAACCCTTCCACCTTCTCCCCAGCAGGGCACCCAGTTTACATTCATAGAACCTATAATTGACAAGAGCTTTTAGGCAGGCAGACAAACACAACTCAACCCCTGCAGGTCACTGGAGCTCTGCCCACACCTCCTGGGCAACAAGATAAATGACAGTCTTTTGTGGCACCTCCTGAAATTTCCACATTCTTAGCTGCTAAGCAAAGTCTGATTTCTCATCCTCTCTTCCACTGCGATCCCAGCAGGGCCTCATGAGCACAGGATTTTGAGATAACCTGATCAGCGCCCACCTTCTTCCAACTTACTAGCCCCCACTCATCTGGTAATGCAGTATTCCCCAAACTTATTAAACTGTTGGACACTTCGAACACTGTTACAACTTTTCTGCCTTGATGAAATGCCAACAGGGGCTCATGCATTATAAAGTGCAATTGTTTGCTTACTTGGGATTGCACTTTGAGTCTTTGTTTGTTTGATTCAGATACAGTTTGAGAAGCATGAGGCTCTACAATTGGTTCAAAGCTTTCTTCTTCCTGCCATAAATCCATGGGGCATAAATTGGAATCATATAAATATTTATCATGCAATACAATTTTAATACTACCACAAAACTATGTTGAAATTATGACATGCATAACAAATATAACATTATTGTGGTGGTCACTTGGTATGGCAGGATACATTTTAAAGATGGTTTATCACATAATGATTAAGACAATCACATGTATCTGATTTCTTAGGTGAAAAAGTAATCATAGAACATCTTCACTCTAGAAAAAGTAAATTGTGTTATTGTCTTGCTAGGTTGATGGGGCAAAAATTACACACTAGTGCTCATTTGTGGGGCAGTCTCCTAAAAGAGATTAGCGTTTGCCTAGCCAGTCATCCGAGGGAAGTAGTTAATCTGGAGTCAAGAAATGGAGTGGCTTTTGGAATGGAAGCGAGAAGGACCACCTCCTCTCTGGGGCTGGGAGCAGTGGAGACATGCGGAGAGGACTGGAGTGGTCCAGATGGTTGAGGTGAATGGTTCCTGAATATGTGGAGGCAGTTAAGTATAAGTGGCACCACTGAGCATTCTATTTTTGCAGGAACTCTCAACTGTTGGCAACAGCTCCAGCGCCAGAAGCGCAAAGAAGTAGCCAGTTTCTGAAACAGGCAGCAATTGTAAAAACTCCTGTTTCAAGAGGGCAAATCTGATTTCTTGCTCCAGAGAAGAAGCAAGCAGCCAAGCTTGGCACTGTAGACGTGAAGAAAGCAGTGTCTTCTCACTGCGTCCAGGAAGGAGTCACAGGTGTCAGTCCCCTGGAATCAACAGTCTAGCTGTTTGTCATGAGAATCAACAACAGAAAAGTATCGAATTTCAATAAGAAAATTGGAATGGATGGACCAGAGAATCTTGCCTTTCCATGTAAAAATCGCAGTACCATAGGAAAAAACTCAGAAATGACTGGAGGGGGACACTTTGATGTGAAATAATCTTTAACAAGTAGGATGGTGGGTGCTCATTCTGTAATAACGTTGTAAAGGAAGCATAAGGAGGCCAGGTTGCTGCTATCAGCAGGTGAGGCCAATAACCAAGATGTTATACTTAGATATCCATAATCAGTCAATTGAATAAGCTGAACTTGGTAAGATGTGAGCAAAAACCTACTGTGTTCTTTGGCATCACTTTTCTTTGAATTTCTCTCTTGATTTATTCCTCCTTGTCTGCAATTAAATCTCAGGAAGTTCTCATAGTTTCATAAACTTTGTTACTAAACAAATAGCCTTTGCCCCATATTCAAAAATCTAGTCCAGTGAAATATGAAAACCCCAAATTTCAGACAATTTAAAACCTTTCCCCGCCCCCAGTTCGGGTCAACCTTAGGTGGAGAAGCTGAGATGGGAAGGGAGTTAGAGTTTCCTTTTCTCCCTTTCCCACCTTATATACCTTCTCCTCCACTCACCAGCTACTGTGTGAGACCCCTGCAGTGTTGATAGGCTGTGAAGTTCTGATCTGAAAAGCACTGTTTGAGTTTCACGTTGGATAAGATGGGTGTCCAAAAGCAACTCTTTCTTTCTTATGGCATCTTTGTAGACTCTTTATAAATTCCCCAGGTCACTGGATCTCCTCAGCCACCGTTCCCTTGATGACTTTCCGTTTAGCTCCCTGATTTCCAGTGGCCCACTTTTCTATCCTAGTTACCTTGCCACCCCCTGCCAGGTAGTCCTTTTGGGAAGAGTCCCTCTCATGACTCCCCAGCCACATTCCCTTTCTAGGAGAGTCCATCCTTGACTCTCCAGAAATATATGTGCATTCTTGTGCCACAAACTCTAGAAGTCTGGGTCCTTCCCAGAGCATCTCTCCTGGCTCTCTTGCCAGCTGGGGAAGCGTCAGCCTCAGCTCTCTTTTTCAGACTTTTCAAATGTGAGTCAGATACCAGGCTCTGCACTCCTCAACTCCAGGGAACGCATGTCAAGTTCTTCAAATGTCTCCTTGAAGTTTTCCTTGCTTGGCTGGAGTTGTGGGGGAAGCACCCGCCTGCTCTAAGGTGGAGACGGGAGTGGGGACTCAGCTCCCTGACAGCTCTTTGTCTGAAGAGTGTTCACTTTTTAATCTCTCTCAAGTCTTTCATCCCTCCCACCTCCCCTAACACCGAGGCAGGAAGGGATGTGGGGCTAGTGAAAGCAGTAATGTGCTCACACCCTTGGAAGCACATCTCTTTAGCCTATGGGAGTACTGGAAACTAGTGCATTGTTCTTGACCTTTGAGGCTTCAAAGAAAATAGAAAGCACCTCATTTAATATTCTTTTGTATAAACTTCAGAACAAATTATTGTTCCATCATTTATGTGTGCATGTGTGTATGTGTGGAGATAAACCACGTTAACATCTTGCAGAACTCAATTTGGGAAACTGGGGGTAAGAAATTTCTGATTAACTGGCACCAGATAGAATCAGCCCAACTTCCTTTTGAGAACAACACTTACTCAGAGCCTCTTAGGCTGAATGATTCAAAACACCTACAACGTTTTGCTGAAATCAAACTTTAGGCTGCAAAGTTACCGCTGAGTTTGGCGTGTCTTCCTAGCAAAGGGGATTGGATTCGAATCGTTCAGCTCTATTTGGAGCCAACAAAGCACAATTACACAAGAGTTGTTCTGGGCTTATAAATGATGTCAGAGGATGGGAACACATAAAACACAATTGTCTCATTTAGAGAAATCACCTAGGATCCCACCCTCACCATTATGAGGCTGATCGGCTTACTCACCAGCCCCACATTCTGAGATTCCATTAGTCTTCACAAAGCCTCCGTGGGAATTAGAAAAGATGCTCACTCTGGGCAGATAAGCTAGAAAGAGTCAGGACCTGGGCAGGTGCACCTCCATGCCACAGCCGAGCTTGGTCTAGATTTCAGCCCCCGCTGACCTCCTCAGCCTAGTTCCCTGAGCAGTGTACAAGATCTGTAATTGCAAATGGGACTCTAAACCTATTTTAAATAATGTTAATATTTCCATTATACACGCAATACATACTCTTTCTAAAAATTATTTCTAAAATATATAAAAATTAACTCATTTTCCCACATATCAAAGGCATGTATGCTGTTCTTTTTCCTGAGTATATTTTAGGTGGTTGTGATCGTACTATATATATGGCTTTTCCAGTTCTTTCTTAATATAATATTATAATATAAGCTCTTTTCGTGTTCTATAAATTTTTTATCAATTTCACTGTAAATGGTTCATCCAAAGGTCAGTCAGAAATTCATCACCAAATCTTAGGGAGCTCAGAGAAAGGCCAAAGACAGATGGAAAGGAACAAAGAACTCCAGGGACTATCTTTCCAGAAAAGATTAAAAGAAATAAACATACAAACAGAAACTTTGAAACCCAGATTTTGGCAGATGCTTTCCCAAGGTCAAAGAGCAAGTCTTGAAGGGACTTAGGAATGAGGCTCAAGAAATCTGGTACTCACTGTGGTCCAGGGCCTTCTCCATTTGAGGAAAGCTGGATCTAAAACTGCCTTGCTGGGCCAACTCACGCCATGCTCCCAAAGGATAATATTTTAGCCAAATATGTTGCTTTCAAGTTAACTGAAAGTCAAGCTTTAAGAATAGTGAGAGGCATTTTGCAAACCCAATTAGTCCCCTCTGAGATGTTCTGATGGACACAGAGTACCATCAGCCTGCATTTGGCAGACAAGAAATTGGGAGAGTGGAGTAAAATAACCCACTTGTGAGTTTCCAGTCGCTGGATGTCCAGGCTTTGATGGATCACAGGGGGACACGCAGATAGCCACCAGACTCACTCACCTGCTTGAAGGAGAGCAGAAAGTTGTTACTTGCAGAATTTTGTGTTTAGTATTCTCAGTTTTTCGCATCCCCTCTCTGAAAGCACCTCACCAGAGAAGGTCCTCATCCCCCATCCCCTCTGCTCTCTATCTAAATAAGTTCTGTAGAGGGTCAAATTTGACCAGTTTCCCTTCTGAGGAAGATTCAGAACCGTACATCCTATGACTGGAGTTCTCTAAGTCACTCAATAAACTCTGGCCAGTCACATAAATCCTTCTGGACTCTGGCAATGACTTGTTATATTTTAAAGTTCCTTAGCTTTTGCCTTATGAACATGATGCTCACTTCAGGTCATAACTCATACCTTCCATTCATTAAGTGTTTATTGAAAATCCTTTGTGAAAGACAAAACAAGTCTTACAATAAACTACCCTCAATAATTCATGAGCATAAACTTAAATTGTATATATTTTCTGAATGGAAAAAGCAAACAAAGCTGTTCATAAAAACTTCTAATGAGTCACTGTAACTGACTTGATCATGGTCCCACAGAACAGATGGTTCACACAAAAGGGATGGAGTTGAAAGAAGGGACTATTTATAAAAGAGTGGGCAGAATTAAGAGAAATCTATAAAGGACAATGAAGCACCCTGAAGCCAGAAACAGTGAAAATCTTTACCTCCCTTATGCCAGAGGGGCAAGAAAAGAGGCTGTTACCAGAACTGATGGGAGCTATAGTTCGAAGAGGACATGGCCTCCCAATTGGAACCGTGGTTTTCATTAGAAGAAAACACTCATTGCCAAACTGTGACCCAGAAGAGACACAGGGAAATAAATACTCAAATTTTCTCCCCTTCCACCCTCCAGTTTTCTGCCAATGACTCTCATTGACTGAATCCCACAGAAATCCAACAATTCTTAGAGGTCAATATTTTGGGGCACAGAAGAATGATGGAAAAGTGTAGGGAGTGGATCCAGGAGAGCAAATGAAGAACACTCAGCATAATCTACCCACCCTTGCCCCTTCGCATCACTCTTATGCTTTGGATGGAAAATTTCTGTCCTCAACAGGTAGAAGAGACAAAATTCCATCAGCTATTATATCATCACCTGATAATGCCAATTCAGTCATATTCCCACCTTAAACCTAAAATATTAACACAAAGAGCACTCTTCATATAAAGTAGTCAGGGCGAGGGAGGCAAAAGAACAATTAATTCACCTAAAATTTAGCTACTACAGTTCACACTTGTGTAACTAATCACAAGGCATGAATTGATAACCATAGCTTCCTTCTGTCAGGTTACAATTACTATCTATAAACATCTCCTGTGCCTTCTTTACCAGGTGGGATCACCAAAGCTTCACTTATTTAGGATCTTAGTCATTGATGATCTTTTTTTATTGAACTGTAGCAGTTTTCCATTGACCAGGACTATTGGGCAGGGAAGTACTAAGAGGGACCCAGAGAATTTCGTTGGGTTCCAGATTGGTCTCTAATTTAGTCCTTTTGGGTGATAGGGCACAACAAATGTAAGCCTATTGCCTCAATTACTTCATCATAAATAATTATCTTGAGGTATGCAGCCTTCTAAAATGGCCCCCCATGATCGCTACCTACTGGTGTTCACACCCTTGTGTAATTCTCTGCCCCCAAGCGAGCGAGTGTGGGCTGGACTTAGTGACTTGACTCTAACATGTAAAATATGGCAAAAATGATGGCATGTTACTCCTGAGACTAGGTTATTAAGGATTTAACCTCTCTCTCCCTCTCTCTCTCTCTCCCTTTCTCTCACTCTTATGGTGTACCTGCTCTGATGAAGCATGCTGACATGTTGTGAGGGGCCCTATGGAGAGGAGCTGAAAGTGGCCTCCAGTCAATTGCTAAGGAACTGAGGAACTGAAGCCCCTAGTCCAATAGCTATTGCAGAACTTAATTCTTCTGAAAACCATGCGAGCAACCTTGGAAGTGGATCCTTCTCCAGCTGAGCCTTCAGATGAGATGCAACCCTGACAGATACCTTTACTGCAGCCTTGTGAGAAGCACAAGACTCGGCTGATAAGTGCCTGTTGTTTTAATCCACTAAGGTTCAGGATAGTTTGTTACACAGCAATGGATGAATAATACAAGAGGTGATATAATGTGGGCTACCATAGTGAGAGGTAAGGCAACAAACAATATTCTCACTGGTAATCAGGATCCAAACTTTAGAGTGGTCACCTTCTCTGCCTGTTGGTCCAGCAACGTAAGGACCCCAAAATGGCTAGGGGAATTCTCAACTTCAATTTTAACAGAACCGTGTCTGTGTTTCCTGATAGAAACATTTCTCTTTTGGGGACAAAGACCTCCAAATACTTTAATGGAAGGTTGTTTGAAAAAAAAGAGAAAATTCCTTAAGTATACTTTCACTTCCATTCATTCACAGAGGGGAGGCAAGACCATTTATGGGCCACTGATTTAGGGCATGTAACGTATCCTCTAAATTCTGACCTCATAGGCTA